AGCACGCTGTCCTTGAAGAAGGAGTGGGAGCCTGAAGCGGCCTGCTTCCACTTCCACTTGGCAGGTGGCTGGGGCTGATCCTCGGCGAACGGCGGCACCAGTGCGACTGCTGGTAAGGAAACGCATAGGGAAGGCCACGCTGATAGGATGGCGCACCTGAGTATCAGTAAGGCCGGGCAACCATGAAGTAGCATCACCTCCACGCCGCTCGAACAACTTCTCCGGCTCATGCGCGGAGCGACGGGTGTGCTCAACAGCATCATCAAAAGAAACACCTTGCGCGTGACCAACAAGGAGGGCGGCCATATTGGGGGCCTATGCGGTCACACGTTGGTCTTGGCCCGTAGAGTTTGGGGCCACCGGGATGCCATGCCTGCCAATGTTCTGAGTGTTGCATGGCTGGAAAGGGTTATTGGTAAACATGTGCAATCTCATGTCCAAAAACTTAGGCCGTGCGGGATGTAGCCTTTTCAGCAGATCTTAGCCAAATGCTTGGCGAAGTTTGCCTTTTGGGCACCTGGGAACGACAGATGTAACTATACAAACACATAAGCAGGCGCGGGTTCGCAGTCACGCCGTGCTTGCTATGCCCACTTGGGAGAATGTAGCTGTGAACACTTTGCCAAAATCTGTCGATGCACTGGATGCCCGTCAGAATATGGCCTGCTCCTTTCTTCACTTTCTTGACAAACTCCATCTTATTTTGTTTCACACGAAAGCTGCGGACGCTGTTCTTCTTCATGCCTTTCACTATCTTCGGCCAGCACGGCGCCCCATCTGAGTGCACTTGCGCGCGCAAGCCGCGCCCCAGAGCAACATGTTTAAAAGGGTTGCAGGACGACAGGCAACAGTACCACGACCGCCTGGCCATTTCTCTGCTTCAGCTCTGTAAAGCAAGCTCGCGCACCCAGCTTTCTTGATTCTTGGCATTGCTGACATATATCTTTCTCAAAATGTGCCCATCGCCTTCAACATGTCCAGCGAGATCCTGCGGTTTCTCGCACAAGGCAAGACCAGGTTGCATACCGCATACGGGGACAGGGGGGTCTAAGAATAATAAGAAGTAAGGAAGGTAACAGTAACTAGAACGTAGCAAGAGCGTATAAGTGAATATAGGCAATGATGAGAATAACACTAGGGTAAGAACTAACAGCATACGAAGGTAAATAGCATTAATAGCAACCCCACTAGCCTTGTGTCCCTGGTACAGCAAAAGCCTGGAAAACATTCTCCACAGCCCATCGAGGCATCTTCAGGCGCGACTGACAGTCCAACACGAGGGGCGCCTGGCGCAACTTCGTGCAACAGTAGAACAGAACGACGCGGGCCAACTGCGGCAGCGAGAGCCTGGTTCCCTTGAAGATACTAAAGTCGGTCACATTGCATCGTCTGTGGCATTTGTGAAACTTGCAACGAACATAGAACTTGCCTTTGCTGCGTGTCCTCGTTTCCAGAGGGTAGAAAGAGGTTCTCCCACAAGCAGGACAGCGGCGCTTCAACTTCAAGAATCCATCCGCACAGGTCCGCACAGAGCTCCACTACGTGGAATGGACTAGGAGGCCCGGCATCCAGCCACATTGGGACGACAGCCGGCGCAACAGAAAGAAGGTGTTGCGGCGAGGCAACACGGTTGCCAACACTCCCTTGACTAGGCGCTACGGGCAACATCACAGCAGGACTGGCTAGAGCAGGCAAGCCCAAGTCAGGGGCGGAGCTAGGCTTGCGGGACAACGTTTCTTAGGGCAGTGATGGGCTCCCGCTCTCAGAGCTTGGCACGCCTAAGCACATGGGCCGCGATCTGCCTGCTCGTGGAGCGCTCCATGGACTGCAAAATGCCCTGGTCCACTTCCTCCCGCGTGTGCCCGGCCTGGTCCAAGACGATGTCCTTCAGGATAAAACGGATGCGGTGGCTTGGCCCTATGGTACCGCCAGGGCATAACATCACAACCCTGGGAAGCTGAATTCAGCCAGTTGCCAAGGGCACACACATCCGTGGCATTAAGCCCTGCAAGAAAGCCAAGAGTGACGGGCAACTCCCGCCACGACTTGGAGGAAACCTTCTGCACCTCGCCTGTATACATAAGGTTTGCCATGGCCAGCTGGACTACGCGGCGAGTAGTGGCAGGAGATACTTCCACACCCGTAGCCAAGTCAAAGGCGATAGACCGAGGATGGGTGTTACGAGGAATGGCAGACAAGTCGGTGTCCTCAGCAATTCCAAACCTGCGGGTGGACCAGAGGAAGCCTACCCTGAAAAAGCATTGTTTGCCACACACACATTCCCAGTACACAGTGCACCCATCCATAGAAACCAGCCGGCGCTGCTGCACATGCGTCAAACGGACACAGCCCATGGATTGAAGCCGCGTAGCGTATAGCGATAGCCACTTCGGGTTCTTGGCTCGCACCTCTTCCGGGTGGAGCAGCATAGCAGGTTGTGCGACCGGCGCCTGTTTGGCACCATGCCCTATGGCGCTGCCTTTGCTTTGGGGGCCGCGAGCGATCATAAGTCCGCGGCAAAATGGAGGTGTTTGCCCATGAAGGTCAATGCAGGCAACACCCTGCTTCGCGCCTTGTTCGCAGCAGCGAAGGACACAATCTGCAACGCAGAGAGGCCGTGGACAAAATACCCGTGGCTCACACACTATTGCTTTAGCTCCAAGTCGCGCAAACCCGCAACCGGGTAGACGGTTCCGCGCTGGCCAAGGGCTTGTTAACAATTGTGGCCACAACGTTGTTTACTGCACTAGCAGCGCTATCTGGCCAAAGCTGGGCTGAGTATTTACCGCCCGCAATCAGGATGTCGACCAACACCGGCCGCAAGTACAGGCTGGACTTATGCTTCCTCCGCGCAACTCGCGGGCAGTAGTTGGTTTGGCCGAAAAGGCAGCAGTGGGAGAAGCAGGTCTGGTTGGCTTGGCTGCCCCGGCCAACATAGCATTGATATCACGCACCTTGACAGCAAGCCCCTCACTACACTCATTGCGGGCAACCTCCCAAGCTGCAGCTACTATAGGATCCCGAGCCTCATTGGCTTCCTTGCGGTTTTTCGAGGAGGAATGCAAAGTCCTCGCGGGACTCCAAGCTGTTGACGGCAAAGAGACTCTGAAGGGGGGGGTCAGTTTCCATCCCGGCACTCGGGAGAATTATGACCTGGCAACGCAAAAAAAAAAAACGGGAAACGACTGGCAACTTCAGGAACGCTAATCCTAGCAATTTTGGCTGTGATCCAAAATGGCAGCAAATACATATATCAAGGTAAGCTCAAGTGTTGCAAGTGTAACAATGATTGCTGTGCACGAAGCCTGCCCAAAGCACGCCACAGAACAAACCCTAATCTTGGCAGGATTTCTGCAACCACACTCCTCAAACAGGCAACATAGCTCAGATCCAATTAGCTGGGGAAAAGCTTCCATATCCGAAGTATGATGGATGCCGCATGGCCCAGGCGCTGAAAACAACAATTTCTTTTTACTTGTGTTTTCTCCAAGCTCCTGGCTTGAAGGTAACACCCTCCCGTCTCTTGAACTGCATTTTTGCGCGGCCGACAGGAACAATGGCCTCAGCAGCTGGCCAGGCAACACTCAGTATGATCTGCAGACGTCCTTGATTCATGGTGGGATGGAGCATCCTGCTCAACTTGGCAGATGAGAGGCAATCATGGCAACGATCTTAGACTCATCGTTCAAGAAGCAGAAGCCTACAAGCATCTTGCAAACGCAGAGCAAGGCTTACGCTCTTAAAGCAATAATTTACTCTCTGCAGTGCTCTGCATACTCTGGCTCACATGGCCCTGCTCCAAGATTGCAGTCGATCCTCCATTTTCCAGCACGAACGCCAAGGGATTTTGCTCCTGTTCTGTGAGTGCCCAGCCAGAATGGTCTGCTTTAAACGGCTTCAACAGCTCCCTGTGAAAAGGGACAGGCAAGAATATCTTGAGCTTCTCTTCATGCAGCTCCTGCTTCAAGTAGTCAAACTCTGCTGGGGCTGACTCCTGGCCGTCCAAAGGGTAGATCCAGCAGCATTCCTGCACCAAGAACCGGCTGTGCAACGTTCTGGCTACATGAGCCATCGCAATTCTTTCTTAGTGCTTTGAGCTTGGAGGCACATCAATATGGAAGCTGCAAAGGAGCCGTTCAAGCACGCAAGTCAAGGGCAATCCGCCAAGATCCAGGCACTCCTGAGCCTGCTGATCGATGCCCAGAGCCTTTCGTGTTTCGCTGTCATCTTCAGGTTCCTGCAATGGGATATTCTGTCGTTCTGTCTGGAGGTCAGGGTTCTGCTGGCTCAGCTTTTCACCTTCAATGCGTTTTGCCTGCAGCCATTCTGTGACGGTGCTTGGGATGACGGGGCCTCCGGGCAACGGGGAAGCCATATAAGGTCAGGAAATCTTCAGACCTTTTCGACCCATCCTTTTGGAAAAGAGAAGCCAAGGCATAATTGTCACTGCGCAATCTCCTTGGTCTTCTCCGGCTTTGGCAGAACAACTGTTCGTCGCGGTGAGCATCGAAGTCGTCCAGCTGAGCAAGAAGAGCAATCGTGCTTCGTAGTTTCTTAGGGAAGCATAGGGATGAGACAGCTTGGGGGTATGCACCAACCACCTGTTCATCAAGGGATGTTAAGAAGGGATTATTGGAGACAAGTAATAGTTGTCTACAATAAGCTGGAACCAGTAGACTTGCCAGACACTCAACAGCTGCTCGAAGGTCTGAGGCCCAAGACGTGGAGTGGCAGAACTAGAGACTGCGGTCCTGCATCAGTTTTGTGGATATACTCATCGGTGACTTCTCGCTGCGAAGATTTCTTGGCGCTTTTCAAGCGACCGATTCGACGGAGCAATGATGCACGTAGCAGCACGCAGCTCGCGTAGCTCGGGTTGAGCCTTGGCCAAGAGAACGTCACCTCGTGCTGGTCGCTGGGATTGAAGTTGGGATCGAAGCGGAAAAGCCTTGGCAGTAAAGCTGATGGCTACACAATACAGACACGCTGGAAAGCTGCACTTAAGATCTGCGTGCCGCGTAGGTTGAGCAAAGCCCTCCCAAAATCAACTGCCAAGTCTGCCAAAGAAGCTCCAAACTCTCGGAGGACACGCTGGTCAAGCTCAGCGGTCGCAAGGACTGGGGAAAGTCCACGGATGTGCGCATAGACTGGGTGGTGTCCATTCGTGCCCGGAGACCTGCAGATCGTCATGAGATGCTCATGAACTGAAAATAACCTCACCGTCATGCGAGGAACCTGTTACTTGTATCAAGCCACTGCGCACGCAGCTTGAAAAACAGCGTAGACAAAAATTACAGTCACCTGTGCTTCGGCGCGAACTCAACCAGCAGAAACCTTGCCTTCCCAAATTCCACTGTGGTCAATGGAGTCCTCCGCTATGCCATGATACCGACTTGCATTGGGGTTCTCTCTGCAACAGTGAATCAGAAGCATGCTTATCACAGGTATTCCTTAGAGCACATGTCACTGACATATTGTCACATGCTCACTCTCAAGGCAGGCCAGGAGTCTATTGCTTGTAGCACGGGTGAGGGGCCGTTGTTCTTGATGCGGGCCTGTCTGGAACGGGTGCGCCGAAAGCCCGGCAAGCCTCCTGTGCGACCCGACTAGTGTCTAGGCCGCCGGCAACAAAGTCGCAGAATGGAGTCAAGACATTCAGAGTCTTGTCCTCGGGGCTCGTTGGGATTGGTGAGGCCAGACATCGGGACAGAAACTCGAGTCAGAAGGATTGGGTTGCATCCATGCCTCAGTAGGGACTACGGCGGGGTACAGGCACTCAGTCTTACCTATTGAGGACCAACATGTGCACGAATCAACGTTGAAATGTCTGCATGACTTGGCTGTCTGCTCAGTTTTGCAACCCTACAGTAGATGTACTTTGGATCGGATCTGCTTCGCCGAAGTCACCATGGAGGCCATGGATTCCCGGACGAGCTCCAGTGGCACGACCCTGCACATGGGGGCCATGAAAGTTGCAAAGCATCGCCAAAGTCCTGACTTCTTACTACCTTGTGCAACTTGGCATCATCACATCAGGCACCAATGCCTTTTGCACTTCACTAGCACTCCAGCAGCTTTGAGGCTCGCAACTGCTTTGAACCTGCCTCCTTAGATATGAATGCCAAATGTCAAAGTCCCCAAAAAAACGTGTAAGAGGTAGCCTCAGTGCTACCTGCATGCCGCGCCAATTCTGCGAGTGATTCCACACCATTATTCAATGTGCCGGCGGGTTCTTCACGGCGTAGCAGCTGAAGATGTCTAGCTTCCGGTGCTTCACGGTCGTATTGGTACTGATCTACTCCTACCCCTAGTAACAGACAGTACTACAGTTCATCATCCCGAATCATTCCTATGCAAACGGCAAAGGAGAGAGCAATAAGAATCAAGATGGGGTGAATTCCGGGATTGGACTTGACATGTGGTCAGAACACCTGCTCTGTGGGGAGTCTGCGCACCGACGTGCCTAGGGCTACTAGTTTTGCAAGTTCGAAGCTTGTAGCTGCACAAAGGTAAGAGGTCTCAGCTCAGTCTTCAACCTTGACTGTTGCATGCTCGGCCTCCCATTTGATGGGTCTTCCGCGCGCTGCTTCACACGATTCAGGATCGTCTGCTCATCAGCGCCCTCAGGGAGGATGTTTAGAGCCAAGTCAACCACTCTCCATTGGCATGATGACATGTAATTTGCTACAATTAGGACGAGTAATTCACCAGAGAGATACAGTATAGAAACCTCCATTTAAACAAACCTGCAACCTCCAACGCAGCACAAACTTTTTGCCCTTGTTTTTCGACAACTCGAGCACAAATTGTGAAACGAGCGTAAATCCGCGATGGCGGCCTTTATCTTGCCAAACGTGCAAATCTTGATATAGATGGCGATGCTGAAAATGCTGGCCAAAATGAGCAAAAAAGCGCCAACTCGAGAAACGTACCGCAATTCTGGCTGAAAAGCGGCGCAGCAACATCGCCACGAGCACATTTTCAGTAAATGAGCACAAATGTCCTTTGTAACAGAAAACGACATGCTCGAGCAGAAAAAACACGTAGCACAAACTTGTGCTGCGGTGGAGGTTCCAGATATGAAAAAGCTGAATACGCTCCAAGTAGTAGTAGAGAAACCCGGGACAAAGCTCAAAGAAGGCTATAGAAAAGCTGCCGAAAAGCTACAGAGAAGCTACACAAGAGCTACCTGTTTTGAAAGGAAAAACCAAAGCAAAGCCACATAAGAGCCAGAAAAAAGCCAAATAAAAGACAAGCAAAAAGCCGATAAAGGCAACATTGAGCTTTGTTCCTCTACGCCTGCAACATGCGCAATTGAACTTGCAAAGTCTTGGCTTTCATGGTTTCTAGTTGACTCTAGACCTGGCCTACGCTTAGCTTTTGGCAGGCTCTGGTCTTGACTTTTTTGTAGCTGGTTCTCGGCTTCATGGGGCTTCGGAAATCAATCCTTTTCTCGGCTGGTCCTTGGCTCTTGGTTTTTCTACACAATCCTGACCATCCCTTTGCTGCGTTTGTTTTAATATTGGCTCTGCCTTAGCTCATTTTTGATTTCAATATCCCACTTGCTGTCTGGGCTTTGCCTGTCCTAATACTACATGTCAGCATTTCGATCGCTCCTGATCCAATCTAGCTTATGGCTCCAGTTGGGACAAAGGCTGGGATTTGTAACATGATGCTGGTATGCTTGTTGGGGTGAGTCGAAAGCTTCTTGGGGAACTTCGAGGCAGGCGTGTGAAGGGTCTTGTCGTGGCAAGGGGCGATATAGAAGATCGCAATGTGGTAGTCGCGGTACTTTGCACCTTGAGCTCCGGACTGGAGCCCAAACACATAGCATTTGCTGCATGTATGCATCTTGCGAGGTTACTGGGGAGCGTCTTATCTTGCTTTCTGATGCTACTGTCGCAGCAGTTGTGCCGGTCGCTCGAACTTAGTCGGCACCCCTGAGGCATCGGCGAATTTTCTCGAACTGCTGGGCGTACCATTCTGCATCCTTTAAGGATCCTCTGCAAACAAGGATATTAGGCTGGATATGGGTGTGCAGTGGCAGCGGATCCCACCCTGACTGCTGTACAGGCAAAGGGCCATCCACCCAAACATTCAGGTTCTGGGCCATTGCCGCAGCTTGAGCAATCTCCATCATGTAGGCCGACCTGGAAATGGTTGATCAGGGCTCAAGTTCAAGTTCATCGTCAGAAGACTTTGGGACCCAGGCTCACGATGGCAGTGGGTTGCCGCCATGCTTTGGTCGGGATAGGAGGTATACTCAGGCATCATTTCTTTGATTGCGTCTGGGTCGATCTTGACCATGTTGTCCCTGGGCCAGCAGTAAGAACATAAGTGGAGCATTGCTTTAGTCTTCGAACATATCGGAAACGCAAGCATGCGATTGCCACGCTTGCGCACAAATGATTGGTAAGGTTCGGAGAGTTCAACTTAGTGAGAACCGCAGCAGCCCATTGGCGCGCGAAAAC